TCAGATGGTCCACGTAATGCAGGCAATGGCGACAAGGTTAGCCCCCCAAGTCAGCGAAATCGTTTATGTCCCCTGCCACATAAAAGACTCTGGAAACCCAGCCACATATGCCGGAATATGTTGAGTCGGGTCCTGCGAGGTTGTGCAAGGTTGTGTGCGTGGGCAGACAGGTGAATAACAGTTTTCCCTTATTCAGGCAGCTTCCTTGTTTAAGACAGCGTGTGTCAGGCATACGCAAAAAGCCAACTTGCGGATTGCGGATGAGAGTTGGCTCGAACCGCCTGGGCTGGGCAAACATCCTGCCGCTTCCTTTGTAGCCTGTTTCGGTTTCTTTCCCTCCACCTCCCTCCCACCCGGCAGATGCTATCGGCATTTTTTCCGCTTCCGCAGTTTTATCACGGGGCATCAACTTTTCCCAGCTACGTATTCTACGGTATGGAGGAGACTTTCAGTCAATCAAATCGATAAACCTACATTAAAGCCTTGGACAATTTGTAAAAATTTCTTTTTTTTAATAAAATCTTGTTTTTTTCATGGTTAGTCTAAAGAGTGTAATTCCTATATAATTAGCAACCTACTAAAACATTTATCCAATTTTGAAAGCAATTACTATATAACCCACGTAGCGGATACTTCACTGCTTGGGCAATTATTTTTTCAATTACTCCGAAGTTGTTACCCAACTCTGCACCCAACCGTTTTACCATCTGCACCTTCTATTAGTTGGCTAACTAGTTTAATTACCACATTCTGCTAATACTCCTCTCCGGTTGCTTTGCCGTGGAAAGTTCGTTCCGCTTTTCGCCTGCCTGCTGGGTGTCGAGAGTTCCTCTTGGTATCCAGTTTCCCGGCAGGATCTGCCACTTCCACACAATCACATAACGCAGAGTCCTGAATGTCCTGCGGTATTTGTGTTTGCTTCGTTACGTACTCCCCATTACGTCATTGTCTGTTTACGTGGCGTGTTAATAACCGTCGAGCACACATATAGTACCTTTCCTATCTGGCCTCTTTGATAATCAGTTGACATGGTGCAGCACAGGTTCGCAGGCTAACATCACTTTGGACTGGAGAAGGGGAAGTAGAGTGGTTAAGTCTCCTGACTTCACAGGACCTGTGCAAAATGGTCTATTTTAGGGTTTTTAGCTATAACTTAGGCATTGAAAGTCGCACAGCTAAATGATTGACTGTTTTGTGCCGCTCGAAACCCATACAATCACTTTTTTGAAGTTTTTGAAAATAAAATTTTTTTCCAATTTTCGACTTTTTTATAAGGGGTTACATCATACAATTTTGCAAAAAATGGGTAAAAATTAAATTTTGAATGCCATTCGATGTGGAATTTCGTTACGAGTTCAACGAGGTATGACAATCCACTTTTGGACGACTAAAAATTTAGTTATGCCCAAAAAACCGACCATTTATGACAAAAAATCATCAATAGGGATTTTCGACAAAAATTCCGTTCTGGGTCGGTTTCTATCTGTAATAACTAGGTTTTTCTTTCCAGTTTTTAGTTTTTAAACAAAATTTGCTTGTTATGCGAACTTTAAGTAAATGCATATTATTAATGTAATTCAAATATTTCACAAATCAGTGCCTACTTACTTGGTTTTATTCTTCAAAATAAACAGACCTTTTCCCAATCTCTCTTTTCCGCCGTGGAAAGATATGCAAATTTTTTGTTATTGTTGGCTGTTGTCGGTGTGAGTGATTATTCAATGTTCGCACCAAATTTGCGCACATAAGCGGATTACAAAGTCAGCTTTTCTGACATCAGGACATTGTGAGAATTTCCCTAAATCGAATAAAGTTAGTGTGGACCCACAAAGTGCTCTATTAAGTATAGTGCTCAAAATATGAAATGTGTTTTACCACTGCAGTTGTTTGTTCTTTTTTTTTAAGCCGATTATGTTAGGATCTTGTAAAATTAAAAAAAAATTTAGACTTTATTTATTAATTTTTCGGCTCTACTATTGTAATTTGGCATTTACAGGGTACAGAAACAGAACACATAAATCAGCTTTAAATTAAAACAAAAAACTTTACAAGTCGTTGGGACAAAATTGGCGACGAAGCAAATTAAATTTCTCTTTTACTTTCTCCGCCTTTGTTTGTGTGTGTGTGTGTGTGTGTGAATTCGATATCTAAATCCGCTTAGCTTAATTTGGTTCTTTTATTTGCCTATTGAGCATGGCCCACCAGAAGTCAAATTACAATAAGATGGTTTTATTTTTCTCTTCATGATTGATTGAACTTATATTCGGCTGATGAGAATATTATTGAAAAAAACTCAGCTTTTAGATCTGCACGAGTACTTAACTTTTAAGTACATCATTTACTTTTCACTTTGCCCTGGTAAACATCATGGAATCCCCAAGGACGCAGACTCATCAACGGAAAAAATCTCATGAAAAACAAACATTTCCCCTATCAACAATATTCATTAATATTTAATGAGCATTAAATGAGTGCGTAGGCCCACAGAACATATTATTTTTCACATAATTAAGTTACTTGAGCGGGCGGAACATATACAATATGAATGGGGGTATTATCACGATGGATTTTTTGTCAACTCTGATTAAGTTGGGGATGAATTTGTTTTTGGGTGTTTAGCCCAAAACGTTTTAGCCCATTTTACTTCAAGAAAAACGGGAAGAAAACGTTGTGATAGTTCCAATGTATGGTCATTGAAATAGCCAAAGTTCGGCTGGCCTTCACTCATTCTAGTCGTGATTAACAATCTCTTACATAAGCTGCTTAATTATGTGTGTATGTGGTATCAATGCCGCTCAACACAGTCAGCCACTCAATCGATTTCCATTTGCTATTCGCCAACTCGGAAAGTTAACTACACGGAATGCGTCCAAAAACAGGCAGTGTACGAGTATTCCCCCGCTGCCACGCATGATGGCTCCAACTAAAGTTGTTTTGACAGGCAACAAATAGCAAAGGACAACAAACAAAACCAAAACTGAGCGCCAAGTCAACGGCACTCCCCGCGCTCCGAGGGGAATGTCTACTTTCGGCCGGCTTTCCACCTTTGTTCTAGCTTTTGTTTTATCTCCTCGACTTAATTGGAAAGCATGAAGACGCAAACACATCGCGACGTGTTGGCATTAACACACGCACGAGCAGGAATAACAAGCCACTACCGAAAATGTTTGTCCTTGGTCCGAGCCACAGCTGCCACAGCAGCACCACCCAGAACCACCCAACCACCCACTCTGCGCCGCAGGAAGGCCAACGGCGCGTATACATAATTTGCGAGTGTTGCTTCAAGTGGCTCGACGGCTATTTATAGTTGGGGCTGGGCAAATTTATAGTGGCATTTAATATTTTATTTTATTTGCCCATACTCCACTCCATCCGCTGTCGACTGTCATATGCATAAATAACGAGGATAGTAAAAGAATCTCCGATTTGGGGCAACAGTTGGCATCTGGCAAACAAAAACAAATTATTGCACTATCAATTATGTAGGTTGTAGAGTTTCTACCAAAAAGGATATATCAAAGTTACATTTAGAAGTAGTAGTATGCCGGTATTTTATCGAAGGAAAGCCCATACTTGCAACCAAAGAACCAGCCTTAATGGCGAACAAACGTATTGATTGAAATGAATCCGAGTGCCACAAACCATAACCCTTGCAACATAGGAGCTGCCCCACAGCCCTCACAATCAAGCACTGCAAATTTGCTCAACTAATTAGCTACTTGGAGAGCAAATACTGGGGTAAGCCCCTCAGCTCAGCAGCAGGCGAGTCGAATTGCATGATTGTATGCAAATAAATCGTTAGCCACAATTGCCAGTAAATACAAGTCGGGTTCAGGGATCAACAATGAGATGGGCGGCAACGGCAACGCCAACAAAAACGACACCTGCTGCCAATTACAAGACTAATTAATGGCAATAAAGCGTGGAGGGGCGGACAGAAGTCATCAATCGGAGCCAATCAAAGTCGACAGCCAAGCCCTCGATCCGCCAGTCAAATCAATGTCCGCCACAGACGCATCCCAGAAGTTATGGCTTGCATAAAAGTCAGAGCCAGTGATAAATGAAGCCAGCCAGCATTTGCATCGGTATGCATATATAATGGCCAAGACGTCGAAAGGGGCCAAGTGGATATAGCCCAGTGCTCAAGCGATGGCACTAGAAGATGGGAGAAGCTCCTTTCGGCGCTTTACGGAGCTGCCGGCACTCCGAAGACGAGGACCAAAAAATTCGTATTCCATTTCAAAGCGAAGGGAAAGGATAACAATGCCGGTGACACATGAGCCACGAAATGGGAGCACAAATTCTGGGAAATAAAGTCAGCTCACTAATGGAAAAAATATAAGTATGTCTTTGACATGCATATAATTTTATAAAAATAAATGCAACATTTATGAAATGCTTAACAAAATGTCTACAGGCAAACCGTTGCTTTAAGAAATTGATGACTATTTCAAAACAGGCAGATCAGCAAAGATAAATGTTATTTATATCAACAATCTGTCTGCCCAGAACTAAGTAAACATCACTAAACAACTAAGCCCTAAGTGCTGACTATCAATTTCCCGCATTTCATTTTCCACCGGAAATTGGCAAAGAAAAATGCTTATGACTGAGTAGCCGCAAGCAAATAACCGAGCAAGTGCAGAAGAAAAATGCAAACAGGAAATGGGAGAGCAGAAAAAGTTTGCCACACATGCCATAACTTTCGGCACACATCAAAAATGGCGAATGAATTGTAAAAACGAGTCTAACGTTGTAATTTCCCATTGTCTAGCAATTTCTCAAGTTCTCCTTCGCTGAGCAAATGATTTAATGAAATCAATTACACGCCCCTCGCTTTCCTAGCTCCTTCACAAGTGGGTGGCAAATGAAATTAGTCAGCCTCCAGGAGCCAAAGGACCGGGAAAATCAGGACGAAGAAAATTCGTTTGGAGTGAAAACGTTAGCCGCCCGAGCGTTTTGTTTGAAGTCTGCTTTGGCATATTTATATATTATATATACGTATACGTATTTTATTGCCGTTTATTGAGCTTTTATGACCGCTTCTTCACGTTTGCGTCTTTTTCTTCTGGTAGAATTCAATTTGAAAATATATTTGCGGTTGACTTTGATTTGATATGGTGCATAAATGGATTGATTCATGTTTGTAGCTGTGAGCTGCGCGTAATTGAATTTTAAGAAGCCATGTTCGATGTTCGTGCGTATCCACCATAATTGAATTTTGTGTTTTTAAAAATGGCTAAGCTGTATAGGAATTTTAATAAGAACAATTTCTGGCAAAGCTACGTTTTATTTAGTTTTTTTGGCATCATTATTCTCGGACTTCTTCTCCTTCTTTTCCTTTTTGGGGGCTTCCTTGCAAGGAGGATTGCATTTGCTTTCCTTGGTCTCCTTCTTGGTCACACCCGGGTTGCACTCCTCATGGACGGGTCGAGGCTCCTGATACCCTGTATCTGGTGAGCACGGTGGGCAGTCGCAATCGGACTTCAAGTCCGTGCAGCAGCTGGGCGGAGTTGGTCCAATGTAAAAAGGATTGAAGCGGCACACCATTCTGAAGGACCGTCAAAGAATATCCGAGATCGGAGACTTACAATTTAATCAAATTAATTTCAGTGAATTTTCCTAAAAATTTTACCAAAAGTGACGTTTTCTGAGACAAAAATAACTCAGGCACTCAAACATCTCAAATTTAGTTAATCCAATTATCATTTCTTTGGCTGAAAGTGTAAAGAAGTCGCCTTCACACACTGTCACTATTCTCGTAGTAATTGCCGACCACAGTGCGCTTCGTCACTATGTACACGTTACAACTTTGGGTAGAAATTCAGATAACGCATGGCAAAAATGTAAATTGACACCTAAAATGAGGATAATTAATTTAGTGTTTGCAAACCAGCACATTTGGATGTTTCAGCCAAACAGAACTGAAACAATTCCTGGGACACATGTTTGTCCATGGGCAATTGTAATTATTTACGAGTCGAAACACCAAATTAGCATTAAATCGAGAGCGGTCGAGACCAAACAAACAAACCGAGTTTGCCAGTAAATATTTGCAGGCGTCTGCCAGCTTATAAAGCTGCAGGCACACAGAGCTTAAAGCTGATTATATGAGTTTGCACAACAAATGCGGAAAACATACAAAGAAATCCAAAAGAAGCCGAGGAAAACCGCAGAAAAATAAACGTTTAATGTCGGCAGGGGCATAAAAAAGAGGACCAGGCCAAAATGGCGGGCGCGCAAAAATGTACCAAAATAAGGAGAAGCAATAAAGCAGAACACATAAGCCGCAACGCCACAAAAAGGACATGCCGATGGGCGGGGCAGCAGATAAAGGACACGCTCACATGCCTTGAAAGTTTTCAATTTTTACGACTTCATTAGAAACGCTTGATGAGAAATAATGATAAGAGCGCGGAAGCGGAAGCGGATGTGAAAGTGGCAGTCGCCGAAGGGTGCAAAGGATGCGGAAGCGCGATGGCTGCCCACAGATGTTGCTGGAAATTACTCAACACCACTACAACTACAGCAGACGCCGCAAGAATCCTGCAAATTTCACACAGGCGGCTTAGAGTTGTGTTAAATTCACTTGGGCTTTGCAGTCTTATCCTTCTAAATGGGAAATATACAAGTGTTGGCATCTACTTATTAATATTATTACATAAGCAAATATGATTTGATTTAATATCATGCCCCAACTCTCTGCATTTCCAAGACATCGTTTGGGCAAATCATGTGCTCCCCTTTAAAGAGTACTCTACATTCCGAAAAGCATGAAAAGATTGGGTCCCAAAAGGAGGGCAGCTCAAGGATGTGAAGCAGCTGGAAAATTGCCCCACTCGCACTCCCATGGCGACGCTCACATTTATGAATGAGTGTCGCTCGAGTGGCCAAATGTGTGAGAGGGCCGAAAAGAAGGGCAAAATGTGTTGACTGTAATGAAAGTTTAAATTGTTTTCCTGCTGAAGGCCTAAGCAAATGTGACAGGGCGGAAAAAGTTGTGGCTTTCTAAGGTCATTTGCCCCCTTCCCTGCGGTATTTAGCGAATAAATTGCATTTTCATGCATATTATAGAGGATTCGAGTCATAAAGTTTATCATAATATTCAAGGCTTTCCTTTTCTATACGTGGGAGTTGTTTGGGTCTGTGAATGGAATGCTTGGAAAGCAGATAACTTATGGCTATGGTTATTGTTCCATTGCGGACTATAATGTGTGGGGCGATTTGTTCTGTGAAATGTGTAAAGAATATTTAATAATGAAATTTTAGAGATGTACATTTGTGGATAGCGCATTGGAAAATATTTATACATTGATGCCTCCTCGGAATTGCATTGTATGTCCAAACACTTTGCTCTAATTCTGTCAAAATCCGCACCACATGTGCAGTTTGCCATCCAGTTAATTACAAGTTTATTCAATTTAAAATCAATACACGGCCTGCGAGTCGAGAGCGTTTTAATCACATAATTACAGGTGATTTCCCAGGAGCGGGTTGAATTCCACGTTCGATGGCGATCTTGTCACTTGGCCATCTGAATGTGAATTGAAATGAATTCGTTTCGAGTGAGCAGCCAGCGTAATTACGCATACGCACGCACACCTAGACAAATACACACACACACACGCACACATGGGCAGTTGGGAAGGACATGAGTTGGGTTCTGGTCACGTTGGCTCATTTTCGCTTAATGTTTTATGCACAACTAAATACAAATGCGCTTTAATGAGCAAAACTCGAACCGGCCATGCGGTTAATTTATTATGCACAGCTCGGTTTCACAGGGGGCGTGGCAGTGGGGCAAGGATAACTAATAATACGGCATTGTCGTGGCATTAAATTGCCAATGCATATGAGCGGGGGGGAGCGGAGGGGGCGCTGCAGATAGACCGCAGCAAGTCAACTCGAATGCATGTAACAATTACCATGCTGCGCTCTCTCTCGCACACGCCCTGCCTCTCTCTCACACACACACACAGTGCAGCAGAGCCATAAAATGCAGGCAGCAAAAAGCGTAAAAAGCGTAAAAAGCGAGACTTGCAACGGCAACAACGTGGCATACTTTTCGGGGCATGTGGCATAGGGCTCGTGCTTAACCGCAGAACAAGGCCAAGCCGCAACTTTTAATACGGCGGGTATTCGAGTGCCATTTGGGCAACTAGCTCAATTGCCGATGAGCAGTGGAAACCCAGGCAACATCGCCAGACTTTCAGTTTCCATTGAAGCACCTGGAAATGTAACTAATTCTAGCGAGGTATTTGCAATCCTCCCAAATCTGTAAAAGTATATCCATCCGTTTAGCTACAATTTACTAATATCAAGTTAACATCGCATGAGTAACGAGATACGAATTTGAAAATTACTCAGCCCCAGGGAAAACTTTACGCAGAAGGGGAAAGCCACAGGGATTTGGCCACTCCCAGCTCACAATGTGTTTTCCCGTCTGGACATTTATCATGCAGGACATACTGGCCATTTGATTAACACCTTTTGGGGGTGTGCGGCATGCAAGGACCGACATAAAATTGCGCAGAATAGTTTAAAACTAAAGCCATAGCCCAACTAGCTGCTGCTCCTGTTGGCACATTTCATTTCGGTGGCATTTTGCCTACCTCGTTGAATGAAACAACAAAAAAGCATAGTTATACTCGAATAGTTATACACATATAGATATTCGCTATGCCACGACTGGCTGATGTGTGCGAGTTTTGCGTGTAAGCGCTGACTAAGCTCTTGCAAGTTGGTTTTTTGTGCGGAACACAAGTGGGCCAGGCATAAGGGGTCTTAAAAGTGGGTGTTGCACCCGTTTTCAGCTGCAACATCTAGCGGGAAAATCGTGTTAAGCCTGCAAGGGAGGAGCAGAAGGAAGTGAGCATCGCGATGTCCGCGCGGCGAGGTGTTTAGTGCCAATGGCACTATGGTAATTTTACTTTTATGCTTCTATTCCGCCGGATTTGAGTATGGAAATAATATGTTGATGATCTGCTGGATAGAATCCAGACAATCTAGTATACCCTTTTAGGTAACGAGCATAGGAAGCCCAAACAATACGTATCCTTGCTAATTGTTCGGAATCTTATCCTTCATTCTAGAATACACATCCCCATTTACCTGCTACCGAATTCCACCAGCTATCCAGACTGCCGCGGCGCACCTTAAATTCATGATGATATCCTACACGGCATGGCAACGTCATGGATATTTAGCCCTCTCAAATTCACAGACCACATACGTGTCATCGCCTCATTAATGACTAACCGAAATCCAGAAGTTTGCCGCTGATAAGAGCGAGCGTGGAAGTTGAGAGGCTTACAGGGACTGACTCGGAACGTAATCCCTTATCTTGACTTGGCTAACAACGGGAAACAAAAGCCGCCATGACAACGAGCCAAATCCTTTCAACTATTCGATGAAAGGCCGTAGCGAAAGGCAAGCCGAAACCACCCACATCACCTCATTACCATCATGAGATCGCAAATTTAATGGCAAACACTTTGTGGCTCATTATTCGCAATGCAAGTCGCTGCTCATTTGCAGCTCGTGTAACTTTTCATTAAACAAAAAGTGAATTCAGGCGCATACTTAAGCTGCTGCATAATGCACATGGACAGCCATTAACGCTAATGACGTCATGAAACTGAATGCACGCCACAGGGTAGCAAGTTCACCACCCGCCGCCCACAAACGGCGGGAAAAGGGCAAGGGGCATCCACAAAATGGGGCACAAACTTAATGCCGGTCTCCACATACTTGCCCTCGGCTGTATGTGCTGAACAGATATTGGAAACTTTCTAACAAAGCCCATCTATTACAATAAACGCTACCTTAGGCGGCGCCACAATCAAGTCGGGTCGGTTGGGATTGTGGGGCAGCTTGCACCCGTGCATCAAATAGAACACACTATAATTAACGGAATTGCGGTTGGATTAACAAAAGTTTAAACTGTATAAAAGCCAACAGACGTTGTAAGTAACAGAGATTGTTGTATAATTTTGTGTCCCATATCTTAAGGTCTAAGGTGATATTTATAGGCATGTTTCTATTGCATGCTTTTAATTTTCCACGGTATTAGACAGCCTGTGTAGACCCAATTTCTTGGGGATTCCCTTTCAGGCCAGGAGTGTGCGTGAGTGTTTCCGTGTCCATTTCTTCCATGCCTGGCTGCTAGTCAACTTTATCAGATTGCCAGCAAATCGCCAGTTTTTGACCAGAGCAGCATATGATTTTAATGACCTGGCCACATGCTCTCAACGGCAACTCGCAATTGCAACATTCTCAAAGGCTAGGAGCCAAGAAGCGAAAAAAGAGGAGAGCGAAAAAAGGATGGGCACAACTAGTGCTGCATAGATTGGCAAAGGGATTCTATTTTGTTGTGCCATTATTGGGTCAACTAAAGCCAGTTCCGAGCGAGGAAATTGTTTTTTCCGTTTTCTGGTCCACGTACGCTGTTTTTGGTATAAAGCGAGTGCAGGGAAAATGTGGCAAAAACACACATACTCGTAGAGTCAGATTCTGACCCCGCTTGGCACGATTTCCATTTCACATGCTGTTAGTGTGCCAAATGGTTCTATATTTTATTTACAGCTCAAAACTTTTCTGAGAGACAATCGCAACACTCGGCCAGCTCCGCGTTGTTTTGGCCAAACGTTTTACGAGCCAGGAATATGGAATCGAATCAATTGCTCGGAAGGGATTGGAAATGTGAAATATGGCGTGGTCCCTGTCAAAACATTTAGAACGGGGAGTAAGGATAGCGATTTCAGCTTGCTGCAAGTGATTTCTGGTACATGCACTTCATTGCCACTCGGCTATCAGATAGTCCAAGGAACTTAATTCGCTCGCGAAGTAACAAAATAAACTCGAGTTGTGTTTTCCGAGGTCGCAGGCTATAAGTTCGCCAGTTCCCTCAGTGAACTCATTTTCGTGCCGCCACATTTTTGGGGCAATTTTCGCCTTGGCGCCCCCCTGCAAACTGCAATTACCAGTTAAACCAACTAAGGCGCACCGACAAGTCGAAAAGGAAGTTACTTCAGCATCCTGCTGCTTGCAAAGTCCTTTTCGTCCTGGGCTACTTACAAAGTTTTGCGCCAAGTTTGTAGTTTGTGTGAATATTTTTGCGGGACTATTTTGGATATTACCGCGTTGACTGCCAGTTGCGTATTTCAATTTTCGCTCGCTTAATTATATTGGCCAAGCTTTCGGATAAGTTTCTACATTACTAAACTACAAATAATTCAATTATATATACAGCTATCCCCAATGCCGAGCGGTTCAGAGCTCAAAAGCCATGCGATTTACTTCTATTTCAGGCCTTCGTTGCGCCGGCAACACTTTTCATTCCCATTATCCCACTTTAGCGTTGTCCTGGCAACAATCAAAAAGGATACTCCATCACAGCCGCCACCGCACCGATGGGCTTATCCGTTTGATGATTTCCATTTAATTCATAAATATTTGATAGCATCCACAATTGAAGCCCTGCATCATTCATTGCCCATCAAAGCGAATGGCCGCTGAAAATGACAGAGAGAATGGAAAGTGGAGTTCCCAAAAGACAAGCAGGCAAAAACAATTGGCAACGTCCTCATCATCATTCTCATCATCGTAGTCGTCATGGCATGCAGGCAAAATAAATTTTAAATTATAATCAATAATGCATGCTGGACTTTCATGGCGGAAATCATGAGTGAAAAAATCACCGATTGCTGCAGTGCTGCGCTGATCAACCCAAATGGCATTGATGGAATCGGAAGTTTCCATGTGGATTTATTTATGAAAGTTACATGTGGCTCAGACATCTGCCGAGTGAATTGCTGTGAAAGAATTTTGCGGTCAGCCAACGTGCGTAAATCAAATGATTGAAAACACATGTCCCCGTAAATGCATTAATTAATGTTTATTAAGAACGGAAGTCGTGCTGTTTTTCGTAGACAACGCCTTTATAGTGACTCATACATACTTTTATGAAATTCAAGTTAAATCCCGCCGGACAAGCGCTGACTTTTTGAGGCCTAGGGCCAGAATGAAAGTACGGACCAGTTGACAACGTGTTGGTCCCCAAATCGAGCCACTCGGCAATTGTGGGGCAAAAAACACAATGCAGAAATGCGCAAAAATAAAAAGGGAGCGAAAAGAAAAGTCACAATAGCGCCACCAACAATTGGAAAACTGCACTGCGTTCCCCTTGTTTCTGTTTCACTTTTGCTGCACTCTGTGGACATTTTTAATTAAACCGCGCGACAATTTGACATCAATATCGAAATTAAGATCTTGTGCAGGCCGTACAACACTTCGCCACAACGGGCGCGGAAAAAAAAGTAATAAAATGAGCAAAAAACGAGCTCCGAAATGAAGGGAAAGTTGCCAGGGCCCAACTCGAATTCTTCAGTGGGTGCGAGGGGGACAACAACTTCCGTCACATGCTGGAAAAGCGGATATCCGGTACAACAAATATTGTTCGAACTTCTGCTGGGGAGATACCGTAGTGAAAGGGTATTGCAGGCATTTCAAATGTATGGAAATGGAACTCATTATTATTTAAAACACGCATTCGTTGCTTAGCAATAAATGATAGTGATACAATAGGAAATTATTCTCAATAAGATAATAATAATACTATGTGCAGCTAGTTCAGAACAAGTCAGAAATTATGTACAACATTCTCCTCGATTTTCGCAGAGCATCACCAACCCACATTTTCGCACAACTTGGGCACATTTCAGTTTTGTTTTGTCGTTTTCAATTTGCTCTCGTCCTGCGTCCTGCGTCCTTCGCTCGCTTATTGCTCCTGTTTATGTGCAAATCGTCGGCTGGGGGCGGAATGTGTGGGTGGGCGTGGCCGTGCCGGATATTGATGTGTTATATGCGATGTTGTGACTGCAATATATCTGCCAAATGACTGTCGATGCCTCGACTTGAACCGAACAGCAGCCGCAACCCGGAAAAAAGGAGATAAAGGTCCTCGCACGAGGCATCGGATGCAGGGGCAATAAAATTCTCGGTTCGCAGGACTCGAGATGGGGAAATAATTGCGGCCCCTGAAAGTGTTGCCATAAAAATGCAAATGCCAAATGCCGCAAAGTTGCGAATGAAATGGTCCCGGGAAACAAATAATAATGAAACCCTTCACAGCGGCAACATAAATCCGATTTGGCATATATAACAAATGACCAAATGAAGAGTTGAAAGGCAAACAAATCGAACAATGGCATAAATAACCCACCATTTTCCAACCAATATCCGTTTCGGGATTTTAAAACATTCACGAGTGCAAATTCGAGGCTGCCACATTTATTTATTTCACTTCGAAGCTTTCAAATCGCCATTGAAAATTCGGAAATATGTTATTTTTCTATGATAAAGTGTCAACAGCTGTCAGCCCATTTAAAAAGTGGTCAAAATCGTCCACTGTGTCGATTACACGTTATGAACTACCGAATTTATCGAATTAAATTTATTAATTTTCAACGAAAGTGTATCTTTTAGCCTTTGTAAGGCGAAATCCGAAATTGTTTGCAAATAATTGTGAATTAATTAATAGAAGAGCTTAGCTCTTCGAAACCTGACGCTAATGGCAAAGTTCTGGGCTTATTTTTCTTTCAGAGAACACCATTATATTTGCCTCACAAGTTTTTCTTTCTAGCTCAACAACTTTGATAACTTTGTGCGTCTTTATCATCATAAACAACAACTCCTTCATCTTTTCATCTAAAGTTATATTGAGTGTGCCGCTCGTTTGTGTAAAGTTCCTAATTAAATGAAGTCACTAGACGTCCCATGGATGGCATATCAACAAAAGGATATGCCTCTATCAAGCAAAGCTTATGAAAACTGTTATAATGTTTTGTAATGGTTGTTCCAAGGCATTAAAATTGTATTTACAAAATGAGCACATTCGGACATCAGTGAAGTAATGGAATACCTCCTTTTAAATGTGAGCCAGATGGTTGAGAAAATGGCGAGAAGGGCGTAAGGATTGCAGTTTGGGGCCTTCATCTGCGTTTTGTTACATAATAGCTAAAAGTTTGCCAAAGCGAAGTTTTTGTATCTCAGCTGCGTTCGTGTATCCGTGTATATATTGCAGCAGTATCTAGTTTTGAATGCAATCAGGACTCGCTGTGTGTGTTTTCTCTCATCTAATTGCAGTTGGAAATTGTTGGGCGGCTTTTAAAGTTTTTAATTGAATTTCGCTTATGGCCCGTCCTGCCTTTAATAGAAAACACTCGTTCAAAAATGTATCGTTTTCATTTTTAAGTTTTCTCTTTGCAGTTTGTTTGGCTTGGCAAATGTGCCAAAAGCGATATAATACAACTTTTCGCTCTTTGTGTGTATCAAATAACAATTACCAGAGCAAATGGCGAAAAAGTACGAATACATTTTCTTCACAAATTGTTCCCCCTTTAGCATATTTATATTTGCTTTATGCCATTTGCCCTCGTCTTCAGTTGTCCTTGAGGAGAGCTTACCGAGGAAATATGAGAAAATTTGCACAAAGCTTTTTGCAATAATGCCCGGGGACTCGAAAAAGACAATCACCTGGTTGTCAACGGTTAAAGGGGGCTTGCAGGTGGGCTGCCGAGGGTTAAGTGTTGTTATCATCTGTTTATTGAAATTTCGTATCAAATGTTCGATTTCTGTCGAAGAGACAGGGCAAAATCCCTATGGAATTGCGGAGGATTCCCATTCAATAGGGCAAACAAAGTGGGAGATTAAATTTAAGGAAGAGGTGTATGTTTAGAAAAGTTTTTTCATTAAATGTCAAGAAACCTGAGCTGTGTTAAGGCAAGGCAAGCTTTTTAAAATATATTTTTAAAACATATGCACACTCCGAACAAGTGTTTAAACAAAGCCGTTGAACTCGCCAATAAAGAATATTCATTTACTATCTTTATTTATTCAATTAGCATTAATATAAAATGGTTTTACGCTGCTTACTTTTAATCATTTCAAGTCAGTCGAAAGATACAAGTGTTACTACTGCTGAATATATAAAATTAACATGAAACTTCCTTCAATTGCTTGCTTAATTTTCGCCATACTTGGCTGTGTTACAGCTTTGAAGAACCGTGGGTACTTTGTACTTACCGTAGTATTTCAATTAACGTCTTTTACTAAATTGTCATTTAGCTGTCTGCGGAATTAAATATCGAGGAGTCGGCCTATGTAAAATGTTAATCACGAAAATAGTTTACATACCCAGTGAAAATAAATGCAAGACAGTGCACATTACTGGATGCTCCGCCGAAGGAACTTTCTTCAAAAGCATAAAGGAATGTGAAGCTGAATGCAAGGAATGTTAAAATAGAAGGGCATTTTCGGAATAAAAAAATGTGTATCAGTCATACTTCAAAATAGAAATAGGAATGTGGAAATCAGTAATATGGCGTAGTGTTTGTATAATGCGATTTGTTCATGTATTAAGATTAATAAATAGTTAAAAAGGGCAAACGTCATAGAGCTAACACCTCGTATAATTGTATTATTTGCGGTTTTTAGGTTCACATTAACAAAAATAGTTGGCCACTAATAGTTGGCCGCTGCATTCACAAGTTTTGCCAAACTTGGTTGTGTTTTAGGGCTAAAGTTAAAGAAAGTTAAAGAACATTTCTAGGATGCATACATTTGAAATGTTTTTCCTAATTGTTGCCATACTTGGCAGTGTTTTAGCTCTAAAAGATCGTGAGTAAATAAAAAAACTATTCCAAGTTAAGGAATAAGGAACGATACTTTAAATGATTGCATTTTTAACTTTTGAAAATTGTTGTGGTATTTCTTTATTTTTTTATATACCTTGTAAATATCTATAGACTTTCAAAACAATTTTGAAATGTTTAAAAAATGTTTAAGTTTATTTTCATTTTATTATTTCTTCCCCAATTTCTTCCGATATTCCAGAAAATGTTGAAATTTCTCGTTTGCACTTCCACTAGCTTGGTAACGGGTATCTGATAGTCGGGGAACTCGCTATAGCATTCTATCTTGATTTCACATCGATTTGAGTTTTAAAGTGACTCCTTGTTATTGTTTTCTAGCAATCAGCGAAAAGGGAGTTAAAGAGTTTTCCAAACTTTGCCTATTTGCTAGAAAGTCTGTTGGCGTACCCCCACCATTCCATACACCCCTTCTAGAGATTTTGTATTCATATTTCGTTTTTTAGAAAACTTATGCCCAGGGCAAAACTAAAGCCATGAAAGCATAATGACAACCCCGACGACAAGTGCGCGTAATGGCTGCAAAAGAACAAAGTTGAGGAGTGGATGAAATGGCAGAAGGACGAAGGACGAAGGACGAAACAGGGTGACATACAGCTGGGCGGACAATTAGCAACGGGGTGCCAAAGTGCAATTCGCGGCATCCAGTTGGGCTAAATAATGCTATTAAATTATAACCCTTTATAATATATATAACATAACTCTTTTGCATTTTGTATATATATTATTTAAATTTCAAAGTACACTTTTGGTAAGCTTAAGCTTGGATTTACAATTTATACAATATATAGGACACTGGTGCAGAGACTTTGTGCACCCGTTTGAAATGGGGACTTCAACAACATTAATTAGATTGAAATGCCTACAAATCATTTTGCAACGGCACCCGAGCGGCAGCATCCGAATTTTGGGGCAAGAAAGCTCGGTAAGCTCACACATTATTCACACGCTTGGAAACGCGCACAATTTCCCGCCATTTCCCAAAATGCAAATTGCGCACAACGCAAACAACACGGAAAAAACAGCGGAATAAAAATCGCTACAAGCCCCAAGCAATTTAAAGCAGTGCCAAGCACGGATAAAGCCATCGAAATCAGTCCGAAAATAGCGCAAAAAAAGGACGAGGTCCGTCCCGAAACAATTACAAAACTATAAGCCTCCAAAGGATTGGCGCCGCAAATAAACAAAAAATGCAAAACCAACACGAAATCCCCCAGAGATGCCCTCACAAATTGCACGTTATCAGCTGTGGGATCGACTTTGATGCTGCCCTGCAATAAGCGCGTCTTAATTGGGTTCTCACACCCGGGAAGGCACACATCCATGTGACACGGAGCAACTTGCTCTCGGATTGGGCCAGCCAAATCTCTGGCCAGCATAATTAAAGAGTGCCATGAGTAATGGCCCTTGGCGAAGAAGCCAGCTCACAGAGCTCGTGGTAATTACAAAATAAGTCCTTTTCCGTGTGGGAACAATGGGAGGACTTACAGGATTCCCCAGGAGCAGATAAGTCGAGTGGTCAGTGCTAGAAGACCCAAAGTAACTTAATTCGCAAATTACAGAATATCGTAGGTGAGTTTGGTGCTTGAGAAGGGAAGTCTTTAAAAGTACGTGTGCTTCATGGCTTTAAATTGTATACAGCGCAATAAAAATGGCCAAGACATTTTCCAGGCCGCAATTAAAGAGCACAATTACTCACAGCTTGATGGTGGCTTGGCTGGTGAAGCGTTTTGAGCAAGGAAAACAGAAGGAAAATAATGCTCCCTCGGCGACTGGGTTTTCCCCCACTGCTTGACACATTCGATAAATAAAAAGGGGAATTTCGCTTTCAGCTCAACACTTTTTGCCCAGAAGCACTTGCACTCCTTGCGCTGAGGCCTCCTTACTGCGAAAGCCACGCTTACAGCCACAGCCCTTTGTTTTTGGCCCTTTTGCTAAGGCGCCGCAAAATGGCTTAATCATGGCTCGTAAATCTTTGATGTTTCATTTGTGCCAAAACGCTAAGCGATTTTTAAAGCGCCCGAGGACTGACTGGGACCATAAATTATGGGATCAGAATGCGGCTATTTGTGCTTGTTACGTTACATAAACGCTACAGCATTCGCATTAAGCTTGGGAAAAGTCCATCTAAAACCTTGCGATTCCCGGATCGAATTCGATTCAATTTGGCACAAAACAAAAAATGAAAATGCACAAGTTTTAGTTGATTTCATCTCCCCTTTGGCAAAGGCCAAAAAAGCGCAAGGCAAGCTGAGCCAAAGGAAAGCATATCGGAGTGGAAAATGCTGCATAGAGCAGCAAATATCTAGAATAAATTGAATATAAATACGAAATCAAATCGAATTCTATTCGACTTGCAGTCTACTCACTCTCCTTCGTCCTGTGATTCGCCATAGTTGATTGAAAAGGATTATGGCAAGTGGTTTTTACCCAACTTCCACCAACTCCACGCCCGAGCTGCCGACTTGTGGTAATTCCGATCTTTAGTAATTGGCCCTGCGGGAAAAACTGGAAAACAACATCAGCCAGCTGCCAATTCGCTGGCGAAAGTGCTTCGCATTTCAGCTGCAGTCTCTGTTTCAGCAGCAGGAGCACTTCAAGTGCATTCCAATTAAGTGCGCTGTGCAACAGTAAATGCCTTCTATCGCCACTAATTTTCCCGCTTTTCTCGCACTTTTCCCGGCTGCCCTGCCGACCACCTGCAAGTGTCGCTATTGCAATTCGGGCTTTTTGGCTAGGCTTTTGGTCAGCTTAATTCCGACTCCCATAATCGGTTTACTAGGCCAACAGGACTGGCTGTAATGGGATTTAGCAGCATTTGCCAGCGAGAATGTGTAGCAAGTATATTTACGCAACCTCTGAGGTGTTTGTGCCAGCCAATTTATATTAGCAGTTTCGTAATATTAAGTATACGACATGTTGGACTTGTCCTTTATGTAACTCAAGCTACCGCTCTTGAAAGTAATGCACATGTCCTTCTTATCACAACCACGGCTCCACTCGGGTTGACCTCCAGCGAGTGGAGGCCTTTCTGGGCCCGTCCGAAAATGGTTGGCCTGGTTCGTCCTTTCAGCCTCGACCGGCTGTCAAACGCACTTGGAGGTCCGCTTGGAAGGCCGCCAGTTGTTTGCTTTTTCCAACAGAGCCGTAAAGTTACGCAATCGGAGAAAACTCCGGGCACAAAGTTACAATTGCAGACGGCGACTGTGCGGATGTGGATGCAGTGGACCGAAGTTGGCCAACTCTTTGACTGATTAGATGGCCATCGAGGGGACAGTTAAAAGTTTAAGCTTGTACCCATGGCAAAAACAATGAAAAATGCATGCAAGTGCACTTTGATTTGTTGCTGTTCGAAGCGAGCTATTTCGCAAAACTCGCCAATAAAGTTGAGAGCAAAAATGCGGTTACTCGCGCCATTCTTCGTTTTACCTGCAAAACCACCGGAATATTTGAAAAATTCGATTTGCGACATCGACTTTTTTCGTTTAACGAAATCCAATAAAGTTTACGTGCGGGATCAGGCATTTGTTGGGAGAGTTTTTATCGTTTTTATAAACGAATTAAAAGAAACAAGTTTATTACTCAAATTGATGGTTACTACTATAGCATACTTTTAGACACCTAACGAGAAGAGTTGTCACCTGCCATATGCACATCTTGGACGCAGAAAACAGTGTTGCCACCCAAAAGTAATACTCAACTTTATAGTAACCATTCAAAATATAAGTAGAACAACAATGCAAACAATTTATGCCCACACGTAAAAGTGTATGTAAAACCGTAAAGCAGAAACAACGAAAACGGCTGTAAAAGCCAGTCAGTAGTAAAAAGTAGTTTATTTAAGTAGCAAAGCGCGAAAAATTTGTTTTTCTTTTAGGAAGAGAGGTCGTAAATGATCCCATCTTCATGCACCGTGTATTTGCATGTGTGTGAGTGTGTCAGCTTTTCGCTGCTGTTTGCTTATTTAAGTCGTTTGCAATTTCTGCACTTTTCTTTGCACAGTCGACGCATAAAAAATAACACACAAATGCAGCATCACACACAGTGAGAAATTTCAGAATATCTTTCTCAAATAAAATACCAAATTTCAGCAAATACGTACTCTCAAAGTTTTGATGTAATTCTGGCCTTGAATGACATTCAGCTTGCATTGCTTACTTTTCCCTCAGTGTACGTGAGCTCTGTGTTTGTTCATATGAATTCCCTTTATAACTGAGTAACTTCGCCTGCAACTTTCGCAATTACCAAACTCACACACACGCATGCACGCAGACACATGTTAAATTGTACTATTTAATTTGGTTACAACAAGATGGCGGACGAGCCTTTAACGGCTGACAGTTCGGATCAAGATGGCTGCCGTTTCACTTCCTTCTTTCTCCACTGCCACTTCCGGTGTGTGTGTGAGTGTGTGTTGTCAATCTGGAAAAGGGAAGTGGGTGGGGAAAGCGGATGGAAGCACGAGCAGGTTGGCCCCTGGCGAATTGTCCCCACTAAAATGCTATTTTTCACTCTATTCGAGCGGAAGTTGAGCGACAGCCGCGCGCCCAAAAAAGCGGCGACTGTTGAGCATCAAGCAGCTCAACAGCGGTGGGAAAGGGGAGAAAGGGGAGAAAGTGGAGAAAGCATGGGGAGGATGCATCCACTGCGGAACCAAAGGCAACCGGATGTTTAGCATGCACTCGCACAAAAGCCGGTCGCAAATATCACGTATACGCCGAGTGCGCAGCGCTGCAACTTTATTGTGCAGTTGAATATTATAAAAAAAATGTAAGGTGAGAGATATTTGACTCCAACGAAGCACATTCTCAAGGTTAAGCCTAAGCTATTACCTATTTATTTGCGCAAGAGAAGCGCATTTTCCCCAGTATAGCAATGCACGCCCACAACATCGCTGAAAACAAGGACTACACAGTGCACGCTCACACACACACACACACAAGTTGTTGTTGCAGTAGAAAGGATCACAAAAATGGGGAGCCAGGACGAAGAAAAGGAAGTCCAAACGCCGTCGAGGCGACAACAATTGTGCATTTGAATGCCGCTCTGGGACTCAGCATATTTCGCCGTGGGCTTCTGCCAGGCATCCGAAAAAGTTCGAAAACAAAACTATACCAAAACAGGGCAAAAAAGACCTAAGAAAGCAGATGCACACATAAAAATGTCAACACATTCAGATCCGCTCAAGGGACTGCAGTGGTTTTCGAGTTTTCCGGGTTCGCTGCTGCCAAAAATGGTGGAAAATGTGGCCTTAAATCGAGAATATTTTACATAAACGCTGAATTGGAAGAACAATTGAATCTTTTTGGGCGGATTTCATATAAGCTTTTGCAGCCGAATGCCAGCGCGAACTCCATAAATAATAAATTAAAAGGTAATATGCTTTCGCCCACTTTAATTGCTCTTTCCCACAAGTGTTGCCACCTCGAATAACCTGTGCTTACATTGTTCGGCTCGTTTTCGGACACTTTGTGGCCTAATTAATAAGGAAAGCACCTGACCAGGTCCTTGGGACGAGGCCCTCAGGACACGCACGTAGAGCACATAAACAAATTGCAAAAGTTATTAAAAGCAAACACTATGGAGGTGGAACAAAAGCAAAAACTACGCACACGCGCACTTTTTATGGCCAACCATTTGGATGGAAATAAAACGAAGGGCCAAGGAGGCAGGACCCACATTTTGGCCAGCGGCCAAAACACACATCAATGGGATGTAATCTGTTGAAGCCACGGGAGCAGCGGGCAACTGAAAAGGTTAAGAGGAAGTGTGTTTGGAAATGTCATTTAAGGCGAGGCAACATTTTTATATTAAAGCCACACATAATAGAGTGGAAATAAAAACAGTGTATCTAAAACATTCAAACTGAACTGATTTGAAATAGGCAAACTCAACTCCACTCTGGCTAAATTCCACAGCAACCGACTATTCCCAAAATTGGAAGCCTGCCTCAGTGAGGAGCTGCATCCCAAATGAAAAGCCCCAAGGTGGAAGAAGAAGCTGCATGCAGCACACATTTCAGATGCGTTCGCATCCGCCGCTCCTGAATTTCCCACAGCTCCAGCTTCACTACCCCCACCACCACCCCTCCTAATGCCTGAAGCCTGCCAAGTCATGTTTGCATGACGAAGTTTTCCTCAAACCATTTGGGCTAATATTTTAAGTTGGGCCAAACTGGCAGTGATTTGTAACCTTTGATGACGCGGCGGGTTAAGCGCACAGCTGGGTATCCAGGGGTTAAGGGAGTTGAGCAGCTGAGCAGCTGAGCAGCCAGGGAGCCGCAGTTGGTAGTCGGAAATTAGCGCTAATCTTTGTAATTCCAACAGTATTAAGGATGGCTCTCAAGTGGCTAAAAGTGGGGAAAGAGCCGGAATAATTGTTAAAGTGGCTGAGCTGCCAATTCCAGTCGCTTAAAGCTCATCAATCCTTGCTCGACCTCAAGTTCATTTAAGAAAACGGCTCTTCTCCATCACTATAACAAATCTTTAAAAAATAAATATTTTTTTCCTTTAACGTCTTACTATTTGAAATTATACGAATTATAAAGGTAAATGTCGAGACTAGTAGTTCCATTGTTACTGAAATCGGAGCAGCAGTATGAGCATAACTCACAGATCTGTTTTCCAATCGCCTTATGTTGCTTTCCCTCGATGAAAAACCGAACGAGGCATATTGTACGCTGCCAGCCCTGTTTTCCCATTTTCCTGCCGATTGTCCTCGTGCACAAGGGCCACACAGCAGAGTCCTAACTCCTGATCCCGATCCCATCTCCTCCTGGTCACTTCTGCAGCAACAATGCGTTTGGCTCAGGGACGTTTAACTCTTTGGTTATTCGTTTTAAAACGAGGGGTATCCGCAAGCAGCACAGGGTATGATGAACTAGATGTGGGCTCAGGATAAATGTGAATCATAAAAGCATCTCAAGCTAAACATGGTTTAATATTATCTAACCGCATTTAATTGTCTACATAAACCTATACAAACCTCCTGAAGAAACAAGCCAACCCAAAAAGCTGGGGTAGCAACCAAAACTTGTTGGTATTCATTATTTGGGCCTGTGTGGCTGTTCAGGAACCAGTCCTTGTCAGGAATAAAGGATGCTGGGGTGGGCTGTCTGGGTGTTTTGTGGCGTCATCTGGTTAAACACACAACTGGTGAATGGAGTCGCAAAACAGAAGGAAAACATTGTGCAACCCGAAGAGCCAGCAGCGGAGAGCCCTAAAAGCCACTCGCATATTTTCACCCAAGTTAATTTGGGAGTGGGTAAATCTTGCGACTGCCGGACGTGATGGAAAGCCCGGAAAGTTGGCTGGACTCTGGTCAATGTCGCACACAAAGTTGCCAAGTTGAACTCCGCCCTAGTCGGTCGACTTCTGGCCAAGAAAACACGAAAGTTGATCAAGAACTAAGTTTACCTCGATGAGGTGCTGCAACAAACAATTTGTTGCCACCCCAAGGAACACTTGAAAAAAGGGCGCAAATAATTGAGTTAATTCACTTAACGCATAAAAAAGTGTTGATTCAATGCAAATAATATAAGCATATAAAATAATATTCGAAATAATCTTTAGTTTGTTGCTTGGGTTAGATATATGGGTAAACGTGGATATTTTCCAGTGCCTTTGATCACAATAATCCCATAGACAACAACTAATTTTCACCCAGCACACGTCAAAGTTGCTCCATCAGCGTTTTCTGTTTCCTGGCGAGCGGCTCCAAGTTTTTGCGGCAACTTTGTGCCTGCTATGCAGTGCAGGCTGCAGTTTGAGAGCCACTTTGCGACTCCTTTTGGTCCTGCGAGGCTTCCTTTCCATCTTTTGCTCCACGCTCGACTTCCAGGAGCCAAGCTCGAACTTTCGCAAATTCCTTGTAAGAAGTCGAGGTGGGCATGGCCTTTTACGTAATTAGTTGGGGCGAGTTGAGCAAATTAAACGGAGGAGAGCAGCATAGGGATATTGGCGGTACATCAGGGTATCGCCTGTACAAATCGAAAGAGTCTACTACACACTATTGCTGGAAAATTATTTCCACACCATTCACTAGCTAATTAATCAGAGAACGCTCAGATCTCCCTTGTAGCTGCTTCTGTCAGAGGTCAGAAGCAGCGGAATCTCGGTTGGAAACTTGTCAGTCCCGCTGCCGGCCACATTTGCCAGTTGGCCAAGTTGAAAGGTCCACCCAGCCAAGCGCCCACTCCATCCAACTCATCATGGCTATGGCACCAGCGCCCTTCAATCATGTTTTGGACCTTGTTCGAACGCCTGCCAACAGCTCACCCGCAAATTTCATTCAATTTGCAAAAACACAAAACCGACACCGAACCGATACCGATACCGAAACTGAAACTGAACCCCATTTTTGAAATCAGGAATGTGGGCGTGGGCAGGGTCAAATTGATGAACACGACCGAAGTTGCTCGCTCGCTGCTACATTTTGTGCTGAAACAATGGAGAGGGCACACATTTTCATGTTTTTCAGAAGTCCTCAATCAAAATGCGTCGGCAAAGTTTTAATGCATGCGCTGCCTACCCGGTGTTTCTCTAAATATACGAAGAAAATGTAAAAAAAAAATATAATAAACTATGCTGGATGAAGTTTTTAAGTGACGAAATGAAGGGGCGTGGCAAGCTGGCGTCTGCCGCACGGTTTGATAAATGATGTGTCGAAAATAAATGATTATGCTTTCAGGGGACTCCCCGCAAAAGTTTTTCCTGGTTTTACATTTTGCCACTTTTCTGCTTTCCTCTGCTTGCCACAATTTCGCCCTGTTTTAAGCTGTTTTCTCCGCAAAACTTGATGTACTATAAGTTCATCTATTTGCATGCCTCATTTGCCATATTGATTTTGTTTATTTTTTCTCTTTAGCTTTTCCTCGCTTCTCACTTTTGTACTTTTTGCTCGTGTAAATGGGGAAGAACATTTGTTACCATTAAACTCGGCTTAAGATTTACATTTTTGTTTTTGGTAATTTGGGGATGAAAAGTTAGGATTAAATGATGTGAAGTACATTCGCCGGAAAAGTGCTCCACGAAGTATTTTAAAGATGAAACTTTAATACCCAGCAAAACAAATTGCGGTTGTACTTGTGTAAACAGTTTTTACTGGACCATTGGCCAACGCTATTAATAAGAATTTTTAACACAGGTTAGATCATCGCCATTCTCCTCCGCTCCGTAGTCTACTCCTTGCTGGGCTTATCCCCCGATCCTTCGGCTGCCGCCACCAGAGAAGCCGACGATGTTGATGGACGCAGTACCACGCTGTTGTCGCTGCTCTCACTGCTCGAGTCGCCCACATTCAGATCGCTGCTGAGAGATTCGGCGGGCGGAGGAGGAGCTGCGGCAACTGGCACTGGGGGCACCAAGTTTGGAGTGCCAATGCAGATGCGTTTGGAGGGCGGCGGAGCCACATGACCCAGTCGGGCGTTGGAGAGAGTTGTGCCAGGGGAGACGGGCTCGAATGCCATTAGTTCTCCGAAGTAAACGTGCTGGATCACGGGAAACTTTGAGAGGATCTGTGAATAATTCATAGTAGTTAAGTTTACTGAAAATGAAGAAAGAAAATGCCTGCTTACCTCCTTTTGGTACATTTTAACCAGACCCGCGTTGATCTTAGCCCACGAGGGCACATCTGTGATGCTCCACAGCTGGTTGGAGTGCTCACCAAAGTGTCCAGTCTTGACCTTGCAGATGTAGTCGATGCAGCTAATGAACATGAACTGATCCTTGTACTCGGTGATGATCTGCTCGTCCACGAACTTTGAGGGATCAAAGGGGCCCTTAACTGAAAGGGATCGATTCAAAGAGAAAACCTCGGAGGGATCCCATTTCATTGCTTACCCGCCAGCTGTGCGCTGCCCCAGATGAAGGGCACGAACTGGAAGTCGTCTAGAGACCAGACGCCTTGGCTCCCAGCAGGTTCCATGTTGTAGGTGCGCTGCAGCTGCCTGGCGAACACAAGGTACCGATTGAACAGTCTCAGTGCAGCACTCACGATGTCCTGCTCCTGCAGGATCTCGGCCTTGAACAGGGAGCACAGGAAGAAGAGGAAGGACAGCTCGTGCCCGGTTCCGTAGTCGATCCTGGTGGCATTGCCGAAGGACTCCATGAGATACTGCTCCAGCTCGACTTGGTATCGCTTCTTGGCATCTGGCAGCAACTGCTCTAGGAGTTCGGGTAACTGCTCCCGCATTTCCTGCGCCCAATCCCTGTAGGCCTTGTTCCCGAACCGCTGAGGCTGCTCCAACGGAGGATGTTGCTCCACCAACTTCTCCAGTGCATCAAAGAGCCGCAGCAGCTTCTTAAGCACCTCCGACTCGAACATCTCGTCTGTGGTTTTAATGCCTTGAATGGCCGAACTGGTGCCATTTATGTATCCAATCAAATCGTGGAAGGCGCGGGATCTTTGCCAAACGCCCATGTCGCCCAGATTTTGCACCCTCTTCGCAATTGCCGGCAGTTTGCCTACAATGTAAGTGGTTAAATAGGGGTCGCATCTTTAGGAATTCATCAAGCCCACCTGCTGCTTGGTTAATGGCACTCGCCATTGTCGTAGTATCGTTATTTAACTTCAATTTAAAGCTATTTTGATCGGGAGTTACGTTTTGTTTGTTATTTTTGGTGCATCTTCTTCATTTTCTACGCGAGCGCAATAGTGACATCACTAAGTATGACCGTTGCCGTCAGCCGCCAATACACAAAGTGATTCGGTTGTTCACACTGTGCAGCTGCAAATATTTAATATAATTAAATCAATCGTAGCTTATATTTATAGGTAGCATATCACATACTTTGGGGCTGATAAAGAACCCATTTCCATTGGGCAGTTCAATATGAAACCCATTACAATACAATTACATGGCTTATGAAGCTGCTGCAAGCAAAGATGCTGCCTAGTGGAAATACACCAACGGGAAGGGCCTATTGTATTAGTGCCCATCTCTATTCGATAGATAACAACAAACTCCGCCTACGCCGGCGAAATTCTGCGACACCGCCACGAAAACTGAAGAAACTCAAATAACTTAAAGTACATACAAATTAAATTATTAGCTAATCATGTTCGAGACACTGTACAACCTGCCCTTCCACATCCTGGTGCCGCCGAACATCAAGGTGCGCAGATTCAGCATTCCAATGCCCTCACCGATGGCCGTTTTCAGTGTGATTTTGTTTTCCTATTTTCTGGTGACAGGCGGTGAGTTATAAACTGGATATTGCCTATTAAATTGGTTGAACAGAGTGCTTACTCGCCCGCAGGTATTATTTACGACGTGATTGTGGAGCCGCCAAGCCTGGGAGCCACCGTGGACGAGCACGGACACTCGCGTCCGGTGGCTTTTATGCCCTACCGGGTGAATGGGCAGTACATCATGGAGGGTCTGGCCAGCAGCTTCCTGTTCACCGTCGGCGGCCTGGGATTCATCATCATGGACCAAACCCACACGCCGGGAAAGACAAACCTCAACCGCCTGCTGCTCACCGCCATGGGATTCATTTTCATCCTGGTCTCCTTCTTCACCACCTGGCTGTTCATGCGCATGAAGTTGCCCAGCTACCTGCAGCCCTAGAATCTCTACTGGAAACTGCTTGACCGACACTCTCTTAGTATTCTCCTACAGTCGAATATCTATAAACCGAACTGCATTCGCAAGAAATTCTAGTTTAGAAGGCTTGAAGCTGTGGAATACCGATCAAAGGCATTCCACAAATTTGTATTTCTATTTAAAATGTTGTCTACTAGTTGTAAACATCAGAATGACTGCCTGGTTTGCATCAGATTCAGTTAAGTACACTATAAAATGTCTATTCCAATGCTGTCGCATAAATAATGCAATTGTACAACCAATCAAATTAACAATTATTTTTTGTTTCGCGGTTCGCCGAATTGAGAATGTGGAACCGAGGAAACCAAACTTGTTGGCGTCCCATGGCTCTCAGTTTCCGTCGTGCTGTTGGATCGTGCAGTACGCTAGTTCGTCGGCAGCGTGAATAACCATTTCCTTCGCCTATAAATTTAGAATCTATTTTTACCTATAAATATAAAGTACATGCATGTGTATACGTGGGCCCTAAGTTGATACTGGGCAAATAGTTACCGAGGAACGTTAGGAATACTCAAAGGAAGCAGGAAAACAGCCAGCAGCATTGCACCTCTCACCAAGTGATGTAACCACGAGCAACACAAATCCATCCTCTGCGTTCTCCTCCCAGCGGCTTCTGCGTCGTATTCTGTTTACTTCTGGGCCGAAACCAAAACAGAGACATGTCTAAAAAGTGCACCGTGCGTTCGCTGAGCGACAGCGCTTTGGCGGAGCTGGCCAATCTCTTGGTGTCCACCATTAGCTACACGCAGTATGCCCCGGACGTGCAGCTGGACATCAACATCGTGATGGTGGAGCTGAACGAGTACCTGGCCCAGTTGGGCGCCACGCCCAACATATACCAGGACTTGCTCAGGGTGATCCTCAGCTCGGATTATCTGGACGCCAACATGCGGTTCACCTGCCTGCAGATGCTGCTCAACTGCGGCGTTACTTTCCTGATGACCGAGGTGTTTCCCTTCAGCTACTACGAGAAGATCCTGCAGGTAATCAAAGAAATCGCTCTTTAGCAGCCTCCGTTGAATGGAATTCCACTCTCCAGGTGATTGCTGCCCAAGGCGCTGGACTGAGGGTGCTAAATATCAAGGGAATCTGGGTCAAGGAGGAGCACATGCACTACATGTACGACATAGTCAGGAAGTGCAAGCAGCTGGTCAAGTTGTATGTGCCCTATATCGCCAACGATCGACTGCTGGAGGAGATCGGCAAGTGTTGCACCCGACTGCAGATCCTGGACATTTCCGGCGAGACTGACATCACGGAAATCGGCATCGATCTGTTGGCCAAGGGCGTGTGCTCACAATCACTGACCGTTGTGGATGTGGGCATGCCGGGAGAGGAGAACATCTGCTACTCGGACATTGCCCTGATCCTGGAGCACTGTCCCCAGGTGGAGACGCTCTCCACTTACTCCTTTGTCGGCGCCTCCCTGAAGTTCATCCACGACAATGTCGACGATCGGTTCAAGTGCCGCCTGAAGTACATCCACGATACGGGCACGGATGAAGCCACCTTGCAGGTGATCATGCAGACGTGCCCCAAGCTGGAGACCCTCTATCTGGACTCGCCCAAGACGGGCAGCCTGAGGGCTCTGCACACGCGCCATTTGCGGAAATTGAAGATCTACAAATTTGCGGTGGCCGAGTTACTGCCCCTGCTGGAGCGTCCGATTGGCAGAAACCTGCGGCATCTCACCATGATCAAGGGCCTGGGTAACCTCGAGCTGGGCAAGCTCGCTCGCCTGTGTCCCTCGCTCATCGATCTCGACTGCTACATGATCGACAGTCTGTCCTACGCAGCCGGACACGCCAAGTTCCAGCAGCTGGAGGGCCTGGAGATTCTGAGCAGCGCCATACTGACCAGCTCCTTGAAGGCCTTCCTGTGCAGCTCCACCGATCTGAAGAGACTGGCAGTGGACACGGTGGAGTTTACCGATGAGGATATTATGAGGTAACCATATAAGGCACTCACTTCTTTCTATATAATCACTATAATCAATATATTTTTCAGCATGTTTATGCAGCATGACTTCAAGGTGTTGGAGGATGTGTGGTTCACTCTGGCCCCGGAGCTAACAGTGCAGTCTGTGGAGGTAGATGGCTGGTTATAATTCATTTGAATACTTTGCTAATGTGATCTACTGCCAGATACTAATGGACAGTTGCCCGGAACTGCAGTCGGTGGGTCAACTGAACGGCTGGTCCTTAACTCCTGATGACTTGGCGCTGATTCGTGGACTCCTCAAGAGCGGCAATTCGAGCATTGTACTGACACCAAACGGTTTTCTAGCTTGAGTATTATTAAGATTTTATTTTGCATTGGCTTTGTTTTGGCTTCTGATTTACGTTTGTGTCTTACTATTAACTTTACTGATAATGTGTATTTGTTTCTCTTTGCAGCGCCTTCAGTAGGCTTCGCGTTGTCTCTTTCCCGCCAGGTGGAGCAAACTTTGTTGTGAGCCAATCAAGTGTTGTGTATTCTAATCTGCTTGTGATATTATTAAAATAAAGTTGCTTAAAATAACGTTTTTTCCGTTTTCGAAAGAAAATTTAAAATTAACGCCAAAGAGATGACCTGCCAGTGTTGGAAAACATATGTAATTCATTATTATACGGTCACACTATACAAAATGCAAAGAGAACGACGGTATTTATTTTCAGGTAGTTCAGTATTTCTCGGCCTCTCCGCAGCGGTCCTACTTTTTATGCGCAAAAAGTGAAGAATAATTCGCTCCGTTCAGACGAATTTAACAGAATTTACACATGAATCTCATTCGCCAATAAATGCAGAACGGCATTTAACCGTGCATGAACTGAAAGTTCGTGGAAAACGCAACATAGCAGTGATAGTGCTCCAACAAACCAGCCGGAAAACCGAATGAAAAGCGACTTCCGCAGACGTCGAAAAGTGCCACATAAAAGAAATAGGTGAAATAAACAAATAAACGGTGGGCACTCGATAAACAAAACCGAGGCGTATCCACTCAACTGTGGTAGTGGAAGGGGAAGGAGGAGCGGCACACATCGCCGTGTTGTCATGCATTTTGTCACACAGCAACGGGCACAACAGCAGCACCACAAGTCCACCTCCAACTCCTCGTCCAGCTCCTCGCTGGCCTCCAGTTCCTCGTGCTCCGGACCGGGATCAGGACTCGGCCTAGGAACCTCCTCCTCGCGCTTCGCCGCCCTGCGCAAGTCCTCCAGCCAGGGTGCCCTGCCCAAGTCCTTGGCCACCGCCCACAGCTTCTTCCATCGTCCCTCGTCCTCGCTGGGCAAGCACAAGCGCACCGCCAGCCTCAATGAGACGCCCATGTGAGTTGCCACGCCCCCTGCACGCCCACCAGCCCGGACACTGGTCTAGAACCTAAAGTATGCCCTTGCACGGAAAGAAATTGGTCGAACTGCTTCCAATTGTAAGGTGTTTCGTGTAGAAAGTAAAACTTGTATGTAAACTGTGTACATTATGTGTGTATAATGCATGTAAAAAGCAGGCATATTGAAGTGGTGTACGTTTTGCTTAGACACAAGGTGATTCTAGGAGATTGGCATATTACCTGTGGCACAGCGGCACCTCGGTCCAATTTCTTTCCGTGCAACAGAAACCTAAGAGCTAAGCGCGTTAATTTGTGGTGTAGGATTGCCCGCTGGTTTGCATGTTTAACCCGTTGCTAGTCATATTGCATGTCGTTTATAAGCCCCTCTTTGTTCCTTTGAGTTTGCGTTAACCACCCCGTTAAAGAAAACCCCATCGAAATCCGTGATAAAGCGGGTTGCTCCATTCTAATTGCCCCACACCTCTTACTTCTTGCATTTTGATAGCATTTGCCTTTATTGCGCAACAGTTGCCCCACCGAAAGGAGAGGTACATTGCGTTTCGTTGTGGTAAGGCGCTCTGGGATATCGATTTTCTGGCCAGTGAGACACGCAACTAAAGTGGAAAGAGCCAGTAAACAAACAGCAGCTTTCTTGACTGGAAAACTGAGCCAATGTGTCTGGGTTATCATCGCACTTCGCTGGTTATCAGTTGAATTAGTGAATGAACCCAATGTAGGGAAAAATGGGTGCCTTAATTAATAGATAACGAAATAAACAATGCCTCTATTTAAATACCAAATGGAAGTTTTCGGAGATTCTCAAAGTTAATCGCCTCTTTGAAATTATAAGTTAAATGGAAGATAAATGCTCGGCACTTGCCCATATTTTCATGCCCCAAATAATAATTTAATTAAACTTACGATTGCACTGTTTAACCTTTCAATAGTCGGGCATTTCAGGTGCTCATTTTGTAGCATTTTTAAAGTTAGCAATTGACCAGTTTTCAAGGGCCTTCATATTTATAGCATTTTGCACCCACTGTTCAAGACAAAATATACACTTTGTGTTTTGTGCAGCCAAGCGTTTTTCACGTTAAATTCGAGCATTTTCGATTGGCCTTGGCTGGATTTTGCGTTTGGAATATAAGTAGGAAATGCATTTGCCATGGCTTTGGGTGGCAAGTTTGGGAGATATATAGATATATATAGAGGTAAACAATACGGCTAGCGTATGCACTGGTCTCCTATCGGTGGGCACCATTTTCCAACCCCGAGAAAGTGCGAAACCGATGGCACTGCTACACTATTCTCCCGACGGCTGCTCTTGAGTGCAAATCGGAACGTCGAACTGGGATGACGTGCCCGGCACGAGCTCCCACTTTCCGATACTAATAATATTTAGTTTTGTGTTCTCCCTGCTGAAACTCGTATATCTCGCCATCGCGTGCCTTAAACAACCCAGCGAACAAACAAACAAATGACAATCGAGAGTAAAACAAAACGACAAAGCGGCTCTGAACACGGGAAATTAATTTAATAATTAACTGCAAAACGTTGGATTTGTGTGTGCGGGATAGTTCATAAATTAATGACATTTCGCCGAGCGTTGCTAAAAATAAGCATAATTTCTGCGCTGTTTACGTTTCGTCATCACTTTTTCGCGCTGGCCGAGACCAGACTTGGCCACTTTTGGCCACTTTTTTCGGTTGCTCCGCAGCGATGACATAGATTTGCTTGGACAATTCAAACAGCCAGCCCATGCCGAAGGAGGAAATAAAGAAGCCGCCGAGGAAAACGCTGAATGTGGACGCCAAGAAGGCCAAGCGAAAAAAAATGTAATACTTGTTCGCTCTACACTATTGATTTTTCTCCGGGCCCAAGTGGCTCAGAAGGTGCCGAGGGTTTTGATGTTTTGCTGATGTAGCCATTACGAACTC